GATGATCACTTGGTTCTCCTGTAGTGTCCATAGCCCTTGTCCAGCATTATATAAAGCTGGTGAATCAGTATGAAGCTTCCAGGTGGTTATCAGCTTGATTTCTCCATGTTTTGAACTCAAGTATACTAGTAGGGGTTTTTTAATTATAATTTTTATTTTTATATTAATTAGTTTATTTACTTTGTATCTTAGCTATAGCCCCCTCCCTCCCTCATCTCTCTGCCCCTCTCTAAGTCCACTGATAGGGGAGGTCCTCCTCCTTTTTCATCTGACCCTAGCTTATCAGGTCTCATCAGGACTGGCTGCAATGTCCTTCTCTCTGGCCTGGCAAGGCTGCTCCTCCCTTGGGAAGGGGAGGAGGTCAAAGAGCCCAACACTGAGTTAATGTCAGAGACAGTCTCTGTTCCACTTACTAGGAAAACCAACTTGGATGCTGAGCTGACATGGGCTACGTCTGAGCAGGGGCAGCAATAGGGTTTTAATGTCAAGTTCTGGAGGATAACCAAGATTGTTAATTGTCAATATCCTGTAGTGTTAAGGATTCTATGGTAAGTCACTGGTCAACAATTCCAAAAGAGGTAACCCATTCCTGGCATAATGATTTTGATTTAGCAGCACTTCTCTCCTCTGCCAAGAAGGGAAAAGTAGTACTGGAGAAGCTTCCTAAAATATGTACATAAAAACCTATAAGAAGTCCTTAGGTAGAATAACACATTATCAGGGCAATGATTCCCCTACCAGTTACCACAGGGTAAGAAGTACTAAAATCTTTAACATTAATTGGACACATCAATGTTTCACTGTGGCACTTCCATCCATGCTTATATTCAGATATGATCACATCTCCACCTCTTCTTACATTCCATCTCCTCCTTCTCAAGTCCCTCCTTATATCCTTAGAAACTCTATTTTTTTTTAAATCAGTCACACCCTAGATATGCATCAAAGAGCTATAATGATCTAATAACTGCTTCTGATTCTGGCAGTACAGTGTAAGCTTAATTAGGGCCAGTCCCTGTCTTCACAGAGAATATAGTTTTGTTAACTATGGTACGTTCTTGTGTTTTATCAACAACAACCTGTTGACTACAGGAGAGGAAATCTGAAATTTCCACTGCTCTGGGAAGAACCTCCAAACTATAGTGACCTATAATGAAATATAGGATTCTTGGCCAGGGGATCAGAAATCACTCATATTGACACTTGTGTATGGCCTCTAGAATATAGGGTGACACCTCTCCGATGCTGAGAAGTCACTATTTGCTTTTTGCACTGGCCTGTGTACAATTCAAGTCTGATGAACTTTCAGTAAGTATTTTAGAGGTAAGTAAAGAACATTGAGTTTAATAGCACTCATTTTTTTTTTCAACTTTAGCACCCACACAGTGACTTCTGGAAGGGAGAGGGCTGAAGCTGCAAGATAATGTAGAATGATACTGTTGTGGGAGTCAGGAATCAGGCAATTACTTTGCAAAAACAGACCTGTCCTTAAATATGCTTACCCAGCTTGCAGGGGAAAGGGTAGAAGAGAAGTAAAATAGTCAGAGATGACATAAATTCAAGACCGCACCTTACTGCTGGTTCTAAGTATAATAATGCTCTTTTAACTGCACCAACTTAACCACAGTGAGACAAAAACAAGTTGTAGTAAGAAACGTTTATTTTTCAGGCCATGTATGCATTTGATTCCAGCAATCAGGAGGCAGAGGTAGGACAATTGCCAGAAGTTTAAGGCCAGCTGGGGCTACATAATCAGTTCCAGGTCAGCTAAGTCTACATGGTGACCCTGTCTGAAAAACTAAACAAAAAAAGATAAGTTAATAAAGGGAAAACTATTAAATTTACTTGAAAAACTTATCTTTTTTTTTTTTTTTTTTTGCACCAAAAAACCCAAACAAACTGCAATTTGATGGGGACACTGATTGTGTCTCTACTACTGAATTCAATTCTGCCAGTACCTGACTTGGTACACCCCCCATACGTCAACGGCTCAAACCCAGAAAACTGCCCTCTACTTCTCTACATCAAATACCATTCATCATCACTGTCTAGGTAATCCACACTTCCATGTGACACAAACTGGGCACAAACTAGGAATTTCCATAATGTTCTATTGAAGTTCAATAAAGCTATTTTGATGGTTTACAGAATTCATGGAAACATTCCAATTCCATTTAAATAGAATTTAAATAGACGTTGCAAAAGATACCCATGAACAACTAACTTAAGAGGTACAAAAGTCTTGTGCATAGGAACATCTGTTCCCATGGAGTCAGGGTGCATTACTCTCCTGGCATATGGATGTATTCAGCAACTTGGAAGCCTGCCAAACCCTGAAGCATACGCTTAATTGAACCTCCAGCCCAGTACCAGAGGATAGGGGAAGTGTTAGAAGAGTGGAACCCAAAGTTACAAGATTTTGATCATAGTTAGGCCATTCTGGTGAACAGTCCCTACTTACCCTGAAGTTCAGAGGCCCATCAAGATCTGATCACTGGAACAAGTTTGCTCTTCATACCCAGGATATTAAAAAAGCCATAGGAGCTATGTATAAGGAAGTTTTTCCACTTCTAGCACTTAGGAAACCAGATAGGTTTTAGGAGCTGTATGTTAGGAACACAGTGCCACTGCTAATTTAAAAGAAATGCACAGGGTGGGTGTTACAACTAATCTCAGTGATTACAAAAAGGCCACAGTGCCATCTACTTGATCTGCTGTTAGAGTATTAGAGTATAGATGTACACACACACACACACACACATACACACACACACACACAAATGGTTTAAGTTCCAGGGACACTTGGTTTTGTAATTTGCTGTTTTTTTAGCCCTGGAATTTTTTTTTCAACAAAATGAATATTTCTATCTTAGTGAGAAAGGATGTTTTAAAAAAAAAATCTTACAAAGTAGAGAAGATGAAATTGGCTGTTGAACTGTATCTTTGGACAATTGATTCACTGTTCTTTATTCCTATCATTCAGGGGACCTTTTGGGGGAAATCATGGCTTCCTTTGAGGATTTGATAAAAACTAAAAACACAGAAAAAATACAAAGTTCTGCTTTCAGTTTTAGGCAGTCAGTAGAACTGTAAAGCTGGAGCCATGAACCCTAAAAGTAAAGAAGATTTCATACTATAGCAAACATACCAACAGACCGGTATGGGAGCCTAAGAATAAAAGAACATGAAAACAGACAAGAGCAGACATAACCATATAAGGAATTCACTAAGGTTGGAGTAGTTGAGGAATTATGGAATCAAACTACTGGGGGGTCAGTCACAGAGATAAACTAAAACATCCTATCAAGGTGAGACACATATTTACCTCAAATATAAAACCTAAGAGAAATGTTAAATTTTCATAATAGAAAGTTAAGTATGTAAAATCTTCCAGTTTTAGGACTGAAGTGATAGCTCAGTGGTTGAGAGCAGGTACTGTTCTTGAAGAGGACCTGAGTTCAGTTCATACCACCCTTGCCAGTCAGCTCAAATTACATTTAACTCCAGCTCTAGGGAACCCAATAACCTCTTCGGGTGTCAGCAGGCACTTCATTCACATACATACACTTATATTAAAACAAATGCATCCACCTACACATAGAAATAAGAGTTTATGATTTTGTTTCCAGTTTCCATTAACCTATTTCTTCTGTATTACATTCTTGGGTTAGCTTCACAATTGAAATATCATCTTCATTTTATTACAAGACCTAGAGACCTGAATGCGACTTTTCCTTATTTGGTTTCCTATATGAACAAGTAGCAATGTAATCAATGTCAGAGATCATTAATATCCTAGTTTATATAATTGATTTAGAAAATATTAAGAGCCTACCAGCTTCCTGAAGCTTGGCTTGATCTGTACTGTTCATTGAGCAAATCTCAAAATTTACAAAAAGGAAAGGCCTTTCCCCTGAGAAAAGACTATACATTCTGATCCTATTACAAACAAAACTCTAGAAACAAATAATCTCATCATGATCAATTCTACCATCACCATTTAACAAATGTTTGTTTCATATGAAAATACTTCCCTGACTCATTCCAATAAATATTAACACTCAGAATATTCATATCAAAGTTTTGTATAACAATAATGCAGCTAATATGTACAGAATTTATTTTAGTCACTAGGTGTTTAAGTCTTTGACCCCAAACTAAAAAAGGTGTGTGGATTTAATTGGATCACATCTTTCAAGCAATAATTGCAGCACAAAACTAAAAATTAATTTGAAGAGTCACTTGGACTACACTTGCTGACTACTAATCAGTTAAAGTACTCTTCTAAATAGAGTTCAAGTTTATAATTATTAATTTCCTTTCACTCTACATTAATTTGACAATTTAAAGGATTACTATTTTTATGGATTTTAGCTGTAGTTCAAGCTCCATTACTTTTATTGACATTAGAACTATCCTGAACTGAGAAAAATATTTTAGCTCAAGATTTTAAGGTTTGAGTGAATGTATAACTGACTTGAAAGAGCAACTGGGAGATTCTTTCAATAGTTTATTTTTTGTAATACTTGAAATACAAGTTTGTAGTACTTGAAATACAAATCAAAATATATTTTTGTTATACGTCACTTTAGTAAGCTTGGCAATTCTTTTCAAAGCAAGGTGAGTCAACGTAGACACGTTTAATATCTTTTTTTAAAAAACGTCTTGTTTTGGAGGAAAATGGCTAGTCAAAAAGTTACATGGGTACACAAGCTTTTGTTCTTTATTACTTTAGGAACATACAATTCAACTTAAAATTTGGTCCACTAAAACATAGAACTTCCTCCTGTAAAAAAATAACCTCATAGTTGAAAAAAGAGAAATATTTGGCATAGGTCTCTTAGTGAACTTGAAAAATAAGGATGTGTTTTCACTACACAGAGGAAAGCACAGAACCACCTGATACAATCAGCTGGCTGTTTCTGGATGTGTTTGATTACGTAGTGTACAGCAGGTGCATGGGAGGATGCTCAAAACTCATGACAGTCATGACCACTGACTCCACAGTATCAAGATTTAATGGAGAACAAGAAATAGCATCAGTAGAACAATCTCAACAGTTTTTCAATACCTGGAAAGTGGGTTGTAAGCTTAGAATAGGTACTGCAGGAGGAGCAATACAACATATTGTCTGATTGTGAAGGTTAGAAAATGTTTTCATTCACACAAGATGCTTTGTGTACAGTACAATAGTTTCCAGGACAGTGAGGAAAAAAAAAACATACAAAGACTAAATACAAGCTGCTTAACTTTCTACCATTCTCTTGAGTATTAAACCCAGGCCTCCTTTGGCCACTTGCAGTGGTGTCTTTTCTTCTTTATTCTCAATGTAAATACTTGCTCCGTTGGTCACCAGCAATTTTGCTTCTTCCACTCTCTCCTCATCACACGCTAAGTGTCTGAAATTGGGTATAACAAAGATTAACTAGTCACTACCAGTTCTACATAATGGTTAGATTTTTTAGTCTAAAGCACTGATCATTAGTTAGTGGCAATACTGTAAAGTTATTTAATCAGGAGAGGGGACTCAATTGGGATAAAAAGACTGTAAATTGAAGTTAAGTAGAATAGCTATATAAAACTAGATCATAAATCATAATTCTGGTCCTACTAAAACAGCTGATTGGCTCTTACACTAAACATGTCATGTAATAATAATTCAGGGTTAGAATTTAAAGACACTTCAAATCATGTCCTGCCTCTATAACAATTTGTGTGACTTTTGGAAAAACAGTTGAAAAGATCTGATCTCACTGATCAGTATATCTACATTGCAAATCATGGTATAATCAGCACTGTATTACAGTAAAAGTTGACTCAGAGGTTAAAGTTTTTGTTATGATAGCAAGGTTCAACAGTTAACTGGTTGAGGAAAGAAACCAATCTCTGCCAGTCACTTACAGAGTATGACAGGCAAAGTTTTAGGCACTTTACATAGCATTTTACTAAATCTAGTGAGAAAGAAATTACAACTATACTATTACAGATTAGGAAATTAAGGGGAGGAAAGTTGGGTTTCTTAATATTTGTACTTAATGTAGTTGAAAGTGGCAGCATCTATACTGACTCCCAAGGACCCTATGCAATCCAATACCTAGACTATTTCCCGACAGGTGTGATTCATGGAAAAATAAGCTAGAATGCTCATTTAAAAAGTTGCATAAGCCTACAAGAAAGATTTTTAAAGTAAGAATTAAGAAAATAATACTTTTCTTGGTCTCCATTGGGTCCTTTCCCTTGGAGATGGGGCAGGGGAGGACCCTGCAGAATATGGGGAGGAAAGAGTATAAGGAGTCAGAGGAAATGGAGGACACCAGGAGAACAAGGCCCCTGAATCAACAAGCAGGGGACATATGTGCTCACAAAGGCTGAAAAGGCAATCATGGGGCCTTCATAAGTCTGTACCAGGTCCTCCGCATATATGTGATGGTTGTGTAGCTTGGTGGTTTTGTGGGACTCCTAAGAACAGTTGGGGCAGGTGTATCTCTGACTCTTTTCTCTGCTCTTGGGGCTCTTTTCCTGCCACTGGGTTACCTTGGCTAGCCTCAGTTTGAGGGCTTTCATCTTATTGTGTCTTGTTTTGTCCTGTTTGACTATTGCCTCATGGAGGTCTGTTCTTTTCTAAAAAGGAAATGGAGGGGGTATGAATCTGGGGGAAAGGAAAGATGGTAGGGAGCTAAGAGAAATGGAGGGAAGAGAGACTGTGGTTGGGGTGTGTCATATGAGAGAAGATTCTGTTTTTAATAAAAAAATACTCATTGTCTTTTAAGACAGGAGCTCTCTATGTATCACTGGTTAACATAGGAGCTTGCTATATAATCCAGGATGGGCTTAAACACTGTCTCTCTGCCTCCCAAGTGCTAAGATTAAAGGCATGTACTACCACTGCTGGCCAGGTTTTTGTTTTGTTTTGTTTTTGTGTTTATAAACAGGGTCTCACTATGGAGCCTTCGATAGCCTGAAATTAGCTTATGTTGAGGAGGATAACTCGAACTTACACAGCTCTCCCTTTTTCTGCCTCCCCAGGGATGGGATTAAGGGCATGTGCCACTATGCCCAGCTTTTAAAAACAATACTTTAAAAAGCTGTCTTAAAGTTAGAGGAGAAAAGGTTGTCCCTTATTCTGTACTACAAAAAAGACCCAGAATTTCTGATCCAAAATGATAATTATTTAACAAAGGAGAAAAACAGGTATGTTAAAAAAGTCTATCAAAGTAAATGTTGGTTTCACCTTATCCACATCAATCAATCTCAGAATGAGAGAAAGCTTTCTAGTTGTACTGAAAATTAATAGACTTGGCTATATAGCAATTGATAACTTCTGACAGCTGAAAACTCATGAACAAAAAGACAAACTGAGAAAATATTTTCAATTGATAGGGTATAATGTTCCTATTTTTTATGTGTCAAGAACACTTAAAGTCTGTCAAAATGAATGAATTCCTCTAAAAAGAGACAGAAAGATTACAAAATCTTATAATTTTAGGCATTAATAAATTTCAAAATCTGTAGCAAAATGTAAATTCTAACCACTAAATGTCACCTCTCACACAACACAAAGGTAATTTTGATGCTGAAGGGGGGGCGGGTAATGGGAACTGTTAAGATAGTATTGGGAAGGTACAATGAGACAACTCCTCTGGAAGCAATTTGTCTTAAAATATGTATATTTGTTGAAACAATCATTCAGCTTCTAGGAATTAAGAATTCTAAGGTCACAATCCACAATAAGGGCAAAGGTTTTTAAGCAAATTGGTCTATGCATCATTACTTAAAACAGTTAAAAGCTCAAAGCTGTTTAAATAAAGTGTCAGGTATGATTAAAATCACACCTCAACCATAAAATGGATTGTATGTAGCCATCATAAATGTTTAAAACGCATTAAATGACACTGAAAAATGTTTACAATGTACTATGAGATTAAAACATAAAACTCCTATATGAGCTCATTTTTGCTACTATATTCTAAATATAGTTATCTGCATAAAAACACCTAGAAGGAAATATGTAAAAATGTTATCAGTATTTTGGGGTAGTAAAATGATAGGTAATTTTCCTCATCGTTATTGTGCTTTAGTATCCTTTCATTTTTTTTTTTTTGGTGTCAGTATGAATTGCATTTATAAGCAGATTGAAGATGGCTGTTATTTGTCACTTACAGAGGAGTGTTACCCGCAGTGTCTTGGATGTTTGTGGATGCTTTGTAGTAAAGAAGGATATGAACCATCTTCAAGTTACCCTTGGCTGCTGCCCGGTGCATTGCTGTAGCGTCATAAAGGTCCTTAGCATCTGGATCAGCCCCACCTTCTAGTAACATGACAGCAATCTGGAAAAGACAGCAAGCAGACAATGCAGAAATCTGTGTTTCTGTTCAGGTTTAAACCTCAAAGGAAAAAAAAATCACAAGAACAGATCCATACCTCATGCCTATTTTTTGAAGCTGCATAATGGAGGGGAGTGCAGCCATTTTGATTGACTGCATTCACTTGTGCACCTTTTACCAGAAGGGCTTTTACAATCTCATCCCGGCCAGCAGACGCAGCAATATGAAGAGGAGACCAACCTGCCTGTATAAAAGTTGGGTTTTACAAAAGCCAAGGAAAAAAAAGAGGACCGACGTATGAACATTAACATTCATTCAAGTTTTACATAGTTGTGTGAACAATTTAACAACATTTTCCTCCCACTCCGTTAACTACTGTAGAAAATTTGGAAACAATAATGAATACAAAAGAAAAAAAAAATAGCTGAAGTGATGGCTCAGTGCTTAAGAGCACTTACTGCACTTCCAAAGGACCAGCTCAAGATGGTCTGTTTTTTCAGCCCCTAGAAATCTGAAGCTCTCTTCTGGCCTCCACAGGTAAGTGCACATAGACGCATACATTCATACATATACACAAGTAAAAACAAAATAAATTATTTTAAAATAGCCATAATTGTCCTAGCTAAGACTCTTAGCAACAGGGGATATGGAACCTGAAATGGCTACCTCCTATAACCAGGCAAGACTTCCATTGGCAGGATGGGGGCACCAAGGCAGCCACAAAACTTTCAACCTAAAATTTGTCCTGCCTACAAAACGTGCAGGAATAAAGATGGAGCAGAAATTGAGGGAACTGCCAACCAATGACATGTGCAACTTGAGACCGATCCTATGAGAGAGAGAGGGCTAACCTCTGACACTATTAACCATATTCTGTTATACTTGCAGACAGGATACTAGTGTAACTGTCCTCTGAGAGGCTTCAACTAGCAACTGATGGAAACAGATGTGGAGACCCACAGGCAAACAGTAGGCAGAACTCAGGAAATCTTGTGGAAGTAGAGGACGAAGGACTGAAGGAGCCAGAGAAGTCAAGGACACCACAAGAAAACCTATAGAACTCTGGCAATGGTGGTGCACATCTTTAGTCCCAGCACTCGGGAGGCAGAGGCAGGCTGATCTCTGCAACTGTGAGGCCAGCCTAGCAGCTGAGTGAGTTCCAGGACAGCCAGGGAGGGAGGAAAGGAGCAAGGGATGGAGGGATGGAGAGAGGGAGGGAGATAAGGAGGTAAGGATGGAGGGAGGGAGAGAGGGAGGTAAGGAGTGAGGAAAGAAGGAAACCTATAGAATTAACTAGCCTGGGTCCATGGGGCTCACAGAAACTGAACCACCAACCAAAAAGCATGCATGGAAGTTGAACTAGACCCCCTACACATATGTAACAGATGTTCAGCTTGGTCTTCATGTGGGTCTCCTAATAACTGGAACAGGGATTGTCTCTGACTCTGTTACCTGCCCTTGGATCCCTTTCCCTAAGTGGACTGCTACGTCTGGCCTCAGTGGAAGAGGATGTACGCAGCCCTGCTGTGACTTGATATGCCAGGGTGGGTTGATATACATTTGAGGCCTCCCCATACCCTGAGGAGAAAGGGAGGGGGTGGCGAAGGGGAGGTAAGAGGAAGGAGGGGAAGCTTCTGTTGTTATATAAAGTTAATTAATTAATGAAAATAACACAATCCTATAACACAGATATGGTATATTAGACTAATTCTAATAGGTTTCTCCCATGTAATAACTTTAAAAAATAAAAATTAGAATCAGAATTTATGAAGTTCTGTGAAGTATGTTTTCCACAATTTCTACTTACCATTATAGTGTAAGAATTTTTCTGCAATTCTTTGGAATAATTGATTGTATATTACTTTATAAAGTATGTACACTATGTGCTGTTCAAACATTTTCCCATAAAACTGATGTTTTTATTCTCTTATAAATATTACTTCAGTAAATAAATCTGAAAATTTACCTGTGCCTACAAAAAGTTTTTATTCTCAGTTTCTAAAAATCTTATTTTTTAAAAAAGATTTATTTTTATTTATGTATATATGTGTGTAGGCCAAAATGGGGTGTCAGGATCCCTGAAGTAGGGATTACAGGAGGTTGTGAGCCACCCAAGATACATACTGCAACCAAACTTTCGTCCTCTGCAAGAGCAAGGCACCCTGAACTATGGAAACATCTTTCAGGCTCCTACAAGTCTTATCTTAATATAGCCAATATCATTATAATAAATATACATAGGCCTTTATTATTAAGGCAATAGTCACCAACAATTTCAAAATTAAATGTTTACAGTTTTTTAAAGTTCACAGTAATAAGCTCTGATCTGTATTTTCACCCTGAATTAGCACTCTAATTCAGTTTCATTAGCACTCTAAAACAGTACAATCATTAGCCCTGTGCCTATTCACTAAGATCATACTGTAACTCCCTATTTATAAAGGTTAAAATTTTGTTTATGAGCTTAATATGCAGGCTTCAGTAAATACAAGGCTGGAGTCTAAAGATAACCAAGAGCTTATCAACTCTGCATAGTACTCACGTCATCTTTATCATTTACTGGCACTCCAAGTTGCAGCAAGAATTCAACAATTTCTGTATGACCAGCTGAGCATGCCCAGTGCAATGCTGTTCTGCTGTCCTATATGGGAAATGGGAACAAAGCTATCAACATTCTTGAAGACAAATGGGCAAAAAAATACTGATGCTGAAAAACCTGTAGTTTGAACATGCGAAATGAAGAGCACCAGGTCCTCAGGTAGGTAACCTTAAACCATATTACTTACTAGCATTTGGAAAACCAAGGTATTAGTGACCAGCTGAATAACATCAATGAATGTAAGGAATTCTGGGCAGAATAGAGGAATAGAAGCATTGATTTTAATACATTCACAGAATGGGAAATATGCTGTTTACAATTATGACACTTAGGTACACCTATGTGAAGCATTGTGCTACTTTTATACACATCATTTTTTGACCCCCACCATTCTATATGGTGCATATTATCCCAGTTTCGTACATAAAGAAAACAACACTACTTCACATAAGCAATGTGTCCAGGGTCAATCTATCCACGCTCCGTGCCTATGAAGTCTCTATTACCACATGGACTTTAAATGAGAGGCTCAACAAAGAACAAGTTAATTTTTGTTTTGATTTTGATCATGTATGTAGCAACATTAGCTTCAAATTCTCAATCCTTCTCCTAAAGGCAAGGATTACAGGCATATGCCACATCTGGTGAACACATGAATTAACTTATGGAGAAAGAAATGAGAAATGTTCATATAAATAGTTGAGATTATTTTATAACGACGCACCCCACAGAATCAGTGCAATAAAATTGTTTTTTTTTAATGTAGGAATCATGATTCTTTAAAGAGTCCCTATTTGTGTTGATTGATGTACTTCTTAGCTTTGAGCAATATAAGGTGATGATTATGTTTATGCTTGTATAGCATTTTGTGTGTGTGTGTGTATGATGCTGGTGACTCAAACCTAGGGCCTCCTGCAAGTTAAAGCAAGTGCTGTACAACTGAGCTATAACCCCAGCCTTTAAATTAATTTAACTGTGACACTCAGGGAGCTGCCTGGTTGCGAGGAGATGCTATAGGTACTCAGACACGAAGCCAGCTGGAAGTGTCAAGGCTGTGAACACCTACAGTCTTCCCTGTCAAAGTCCCCAGACACCAGTTAAACTATGAAAATCAAATGCACATAAAAGAGAGGGAAGATGAGAGAGATCCAGGTGCCTCTTTCCCAGATTTGACAAAAAACATCTTGCCATATTTTCTTCTAGATTTTTTTACTTGAATTTTCCTTTAAAAAAAAAAGACTTAATTTTACTTTTTATAGTGTGCATTTGGGTGGGTTTGTTCAGATAACCACATGTGCATGGGGAGGTCAGATGCACTGGATCCTCCTGGAGCTGGAGTTACAGGAAGTTGTGAAGAAAAGGTAAATGTGTGTTCTAAACCACTGAGCCACCTCTGTGGTCCTGTTGGGCATTGTTTATAACAGAATCCTAAATACTATGATTGTTCACCTCTCAATATTTCAGCACCAAGAAAAGTACTTATGTCAAAAGACAAAACAAACAAACAAAAAACCCACAAGTACATTATTATTGGTGGACTTGGGAGGCTGGGGGATAGGAGGATCTTGACTGGAGGGGCAGCATGCATTACAAAGGGAGATCATATCTTAAAGAACAAAAAAATAAGTTAAAGTGACATTACCATTAACTCATTTAAAACCAATAGTCTCCTACATGCCTTTTTTCTGGTGGTTTAAATCTGGATGCAAATCTACAAATTAATTGCTGTAGTAAACTTTTTAAAATTTAATTTTGTTTATGTGTTTATTTATTTATTACAATTGATTCACTTTGTATCCTAGCTCCAGCCCCCCTCCCTTGTCTCCTCCCAGTCCCATCCACTCTCCCTATTCTCCCCCAATGCCTTTTCCCTAGTCCCCTGATAGGGGAGGTCCTCCTCCCTTTCTATCTGACTTTAGCTTATTGGGTCTCATCAGGACTGGCTGCATCATCTTCCTCTGTGGCCTGGCAAGGCTGCACCCCCACAGGGAGGTGATCAAAGAGCTGGCCACTGAGTTCATGTCAGAGACAGTCCCTGTATCCCTTACTAGAGAACCCACTTGGAAACTGAGCAGGCAATGGGCTTCCTTTGAATGTATTAAACTTCTTAATCCTGATTAGCTCTGTTTTTATGCCACTGACTGGACTGAAGAATGGTTACATTTTCAGTGGATTAAGTCTCAATATAATTCATTTTTATTAAATTTAAGCCATATTACCAGATCATAACCAAAGCAAAGTTAGTGAACATAGGGGAATTCTCCTGCTGCGTAATAAATGAAAATTCCAGAGAAAACAGTTGCTTCATTTTAAGTTATCTTCTAAAAGAGACATGGAGATTTTGAAGCATGATGCATTGTCTTTACTCATGTTTAACACTGTCTATCAAACAGAAGACAACGCCTGCTTTTTATACTTGACTGAAATTCCCGGCTCCTCTCAAACTTCCTGGCACACACACACACACACACAAAATAAAAAAGAAAAAAAAAAGAAGGAAAAAAACCAACCAACCAACCAACCGACCAAACCACCCACAAACAGGGGGAAAAAAAGAAATTAAAAAAGAAGAAGAAGAAGAAGAAGAAGAAGAAGAAGAAGAAGAAGAAGAAGAAGAAGAAGAAGAAGAA